CGTTCCTGCCACCTGGTCCTGCCTGAGGAGCCAGGAGCTCCCGAAGGGAAGTGTTAGCTCACAGGCAGGGGAAAGAGGGAGACGCCTCCCCAGCCCTGGCAGTTTGCTCAGCGGTTAGAGCATCGGCCCGCCGACCAGTGAGTCGTGGGTTTGATTCTGGTCAAGGGCACGGGCCTCGGCTGTGGTTCCTCCCAGGCCCTGGTTGGGTCATGCGGGAGGCAGCCAGTGGATGTTTCTCTCTCCCTCTCTCTGATGATAAATAGAAAAATGTCCTCCGGTGAGAATTAAAACAAGCAAAAAAAGAAGATCAAACAAAATAAATACAAGCTGAGGAGCAGTAAAAGTGAGAAGAGAGAGTTTGACAAGAGGAGTTAGGAAACCTGTCCGATGTGGCTCAGTGGTTGAGCGTCGACCCTGCACCAAGAGGTCGCCGGTTCGATTCCTGGTCAGGGCACATGCCCAGGTTTGGGTCCGATCCCCAGTGGGGGGCATGCAGGAGGCGGCCAATCGATGTTCTCTCTCATCAGCCTTTCTACCTCTCTCTCCCTCTCCCTTCCTTTCTCTCAAAAATCGATAAAGACAAAACAGTTAAAAAACAAAGGGGGGTTAGGAAGACAAAGTGGGGGTGGGCAATTGACATGCAAGGAAGGGCAGCCCCCGAGGAAAGGGGTGAAATAAGCAATAAACAGAGTGTTCTGTTTTTTTAAAAGACAATCCTGTGGGTTAACAGGGATTTCCTGAGCTCAAGCCCAGCCGAGGGTGGGTTCCCTGGAGCCCAGAGGTCAGGCCTGATTCCTTCTTTTTTTTTTTTTAAATCCTCACCTGAGGACATTTTTCCACTTTTTGTTCAGGTAGAGTAGGAGGGGGAGAGAGGAACAGAGAGAGAGAGAAACATCCACGTGAAAGGGACACACCGAGTGGCCGCCACCCGCACGACTGACCAGAGCCGGGGACAAACTGCAACCGAGGTACATGCCCTTAGCGGGAACCGAACCCGGGTCTCTCCGGACCGCAGGCCGACGCTCTAACCGCTGAGCCAAACCAGCCAGGGCAGGCCTGATTCCTTCTAAGACGCTGACTGGCTCCTCCCTGGGCCGTTGACGCCCAGGACAGGGGTTGGCTTCCTCCTGAGTCCCAGGGAGAGCTGGTCTGTGTACCAAACCTGCAGAGAATCCTCTAGGCTGGGCCCGGGCTCTGGGCTGGCAGTGCCCTCGTGCAGAGCCTGGGGTGCACTGTCAGAAACCCTGGGGTTCTGTGCTGGGAGAGAGGGGGTAAGACAGCCTTCCAGGGTGCAGTACCGTGTCCAGTGCGGGGGCTCTCCAGGAGGACACGGCGGGGACGGGGCCCTTCTGCAGGGGCTGGGCATTGGTGGTTCCCCAGGGATTTGCCGGGGCAGGCGTCCCTGGGGGGGTCAGGACTCCAGCTGGCCCTTCGCTGGTCCGTTCCTGGTGGGGTGAGAAGGAAGGTGACGGCAGGAAGAGGCGTGCAGTTCGGAATGACAAAGCTTGAAGTTGCAGGGAGTGTGGCTTCCGAGCGGACCAGCGTGGCCTCGCTCCGCCTTGACATCGCGTCTGCAGCTTTGGCGGACCCCTGGCGTCCAGGCGTCCAGCTGAGGTCCCCGATGGGCCCAGTTTATTTTTTCGCACCCTGCTTCAGCTTCCTTGTGTGCAAAGTGGGAATCCCGTCGAACAGGGAAGCTGACGGGTGCTGAGCCCAGTGCTGCCTGGGGAAAGTGCAGTTCGAATCAGTACAACTGAAGATCTCTCTAGAGGAAGCCATCCTCTGTCTTGGCTGAACTCTGTGCGAGAGGGTTTATTGGCTTAGTTTTCATTTCTGTGAATACACCTTTGAGGAGCAAGACCAAAAGGACCGCGTCCTGGGTCTGCCTTGGGCAAGCCCCTCCTTTCTCTGAGCCTCAGTTTCCCCCTCTGTGAAATGGGTATGCCGATCTGTCTTCTCCAGCCAGGCTGTTACTCTGGGTGAATCTGTTCCCGGGGTCAAGTTGCTTCCAGGAGCTTGGCTTTGGGAAGGCATCTTTTGCAGTCTCAGAGGCTATCAGGGTTTAAGGGCCTGGGCTGCCCAGGATCGATAAGTAATTAGGGATTTGATGAGCCTGATGGAGCCCTGATAATGTCCCTGAACCCAGCAATGCCAACGTCAGGGGGCACAGAAGATTCACAGCGTCCTGCCAAGGCGGGTGTGCAGAGGGCCCGTGAACTCTGGGCCTGCTGCCCAGCTCCAGGAGTAGTGGGGCCTTGCCGGGTGCCCCTTGTTGCCAGGCGGGGGTGCCAGGGCATTCCAGTCTGGCAGAGAAAACCGGCCCAGCTTGGGGGCAGAGAAGGAAGAGCATCTGGGGACGGAAGGACCCCACCCTGTGGGAAATGGAGGGGAAGAGGGTTCCCAGGCCAGGAGGTGAGGTTGCCCCGGGCCAATAGCTCCCGAGGGGGTTCCAACCTGAGTCGTCACCCTCAGGTTCCAAACCAGAGGGACCTCATCATCCCTTTCATCGTCCAAACCAGAAAGTGATCGAAGTCTTCCCCAAACTGTGTGTGCGGCTTAATATTTGGAAGCGGGTCTGAAGCCTGCCGGCGTGGTCTCTCCACCTCGAATCATATGCACCAGGAAAAGCATCTAACGGGTTGGAAGCATCACACACCCACACTGCTGAGACACTGCAGGGGCTCAGACAAGTGAATTTGGGGGTTCCTCGATCCTATGGCTCTTGACCTCAGGGTTGAGCCCCTGACCACACCCACAATCCTTCCAAGGGGGAAATGGTCACCACAGGAACCAAATTGTTACGCAACACAACCCTTTCTTTCCCTTCTCCCTACAACCAGCCAATGGTGGAATTGTGAAGGGATGAGGATGGAGGCTTGGGGGACTGGACCGGCTGGGTGGGGCATGCTTCACGGTTCAGGGCCCCATGGCCGGTTCCTTGTGGACGTGCTTTTGAGAGGGTCAGCCTGGTAACCTAGCCTCCCACAGGCATACCCCTCCCCTCCCCTCCCCCATGGGCCTCCTCATCCTGGATTCACTGCTGCCCTGAGGTTCCTTGCTCCAGCTCAGCTTCCCCTCTGCACCAGGCTGCCCCTGGCCAGCCGAGTCGGCCCATCAGCCCCTGCAGAGACTGCCCACTGCTCTCCCAGCCGGGTGCCACCTGCACAGCTCCTCCCCCACCTTCCCATGGAAAAATCTGCCAATGTTTCCCAGCTTGGGACACACGGAGACGCGCGCGCACCGTTTTCTTCCTGTCCAGGCTGCCAATTAGCATCCAATGCCTGGAAGCCTGCCTGCCTTCCTTCTCTTGGTAACGCCCACTCAGCCTTTAGACCTGCCACCTCCTCCAGGAAGCCCTCCCTGGCTCTTCCTCCCAGGCCGTCTCAGAGCCCAGGACGCGCGTGTGCATACATGGCTCATTCAGGGCCCTTGCCACATCTTTTAATGATCTATTTCTGTGTCCACCTCTTCCTGCTGCGCGGGGAGTTCCTGGCAAGGGGTGTTGCCGAGCCTCTCAGACCCCGCTCTCCCAGCGTGTGGCTCGGGCACAGCAGGGGCCTGGGTCAGACAGACGACGGGGCCTCGGGGCGCTCCCAGGCTCCCGGGCTCGCGGGAGCGGCCCCTCGCACGAGGCTCGGCCGGGCGCGCCCAGACCGAGCTTCGGGGGAATCCGGGTCCGGGAAGGCTCAGCCGCCCTGCCGAAATCCTGGGTGTGCCACGTGGAGCCCCGTCCGCTTGGGACTTGGCGGGGTGTGAAGCTGCGCCTCCGGCTGGCCCCCTCTTCCCAGGCTCGCGCCCAGACAGCCTAGCGCTGAAAGTGGCGGGGCGGCGGGAGGCACGGCCCGGCTGGAGCCCCTTCGGCGCCGGCCCGAGGAGCCGGCTCCCCGCCCGGCCTCTCCCGGGAAGGATCCGTGCGGACTCGGAGTCTGAGAACCCGGCCGCTTGGAAGGCTCCTCACGTCCAGGCGCCGCGGTCACGGCTGCGCCGGTTTCCGGCCATGAATTGGGCTTCAGAGTCCGAGCCTCCTGCCCGACTCCGGCTGGGCGCGGGACCCGCGGGGCGGGGGATGGGCGCCCGCCAGGTCCGGCGGCCAGCGAGGGTCCGAGCCACGGCCCCGCTTTGCTTGGTGACGCTGGGCCGCGGCCGGTCCCTGACTCCCCTGGCCTCCCGGTGGCCCGCTCGGCGCCCGCCCCGCCTCTGCCCCTGCCCCTGTCCGGCTCGCGAGGGGCTCCCTGCCCCCGGCCGGGGGTGGCGGAGACGCGGCGCGGCCGAGGGGGGCGGGCGCCAGGCGCTCCGGAACCTGAGTAGTCCGGGGCCGACCCCTCTCCATCCTGCCGCCCGGCGAACGGGGGCGTGAGGCCCAGGGCCGCCCAGCTCTGCGCGCCGCAGCCCGGCTGGCCTCCCCCGCGGCGCCGGCCTCCCAGGGTCCCCCGGCTGCGAGCGCGGAGCCCCGAGCCCCCTCCGAGCCGAGCGGGCGAGCGCCGCGCGGCGAGGCTGAGGCTCCGCAGTCACGTGGTGGAGAGGAGGGCGGAGGGGCGGGAGGCGGGCAGGGAGGGGAGGGGGAGCGGAGCCGAGGGGGAGGGGGAGGGGAGGGGGCGTCCTCCGCAGTTCGCTCCTGGCCGGGGCTCAGACACACAGCGAGCCCGGAGCCGCCGCGCCGGCCCGGCCGCCGTCGCCACCGCCTCCACCGCCTCCGAAGCCGCCCGAGCCTCGGGAAACGCCGCCACCGCCGCTGCCGCGGGCCACCCCCGCCGCGCCGGCCTGGGCTCGGGCTGCCACCGCCGCCGCAGCCGCCACCGGAGCGGGAGCCCGACCGCGCTGGGCTGGGCTGGGCTGGGGGGGTGCCGGGCGCAGGGGCGGGCGCGCGGGGGAAGACGCACGGGCGGGCTCGGCTCTCCCGGGGAGCGGCCCGGGACTGCACCCGGACGGGCGCCTCCCCGCTCCGCGCTGCCCTCGGCCTCACCCCGGGCCCGGGCGGATGAGCCGCGCGCCTGGGGGACATGGAAGCGCTGACGCTGTGGCTTCTCCCCTGGATATGCCAGTGCGTGTCGGTGCGGGCCGACTCCATCATCCACATCGGTGAGAGCGCCGGGCCGCCGGGCATCAATTGGGCGGGGGCCTCGGCAGCGCAGGGGGTGCGCGGCGTCCAAACTTGGCGGTTCCCGGGGTCCGAGGGGTTCGGCCGGCGGTGCGCCACCGAAGGGCCGCGCCGCGTTCCCGCGGGCCCCTCGCCGCTCCCCGGGGCTCCGGTCCCCGCGCGGGGCCCCGCGGCCTCTGCCAACATTTAGGGCCGCGGCTGCGGGAAACCCGGTGCTGGACACGCGCCCAGACCCTCGCCCCTGGCGGAGCCGTCGGTGGGCTCTGACCAGCCCTTCGGCGCAGCTCCGAGCAGCGGGGAGCAGGGGGAGGACGCGGCCCGGGGTCTCGCCAAGTTGGCAGGGCAGAATCCAAAGAGGCCCAACCGGAACCGTGTGTTGTGGGTGGGTGGGTGGGTGTCGTCAGCGTGTGTCCCCGTGTGTGCTCCTGGCACCGCGTTGGTGTCACTGCCGGAGGACGTCGGGGTGTGTGGGGCCATCCGCGCCCGGGTTGGTGAGGGCACAGCTGCCCGTCAGCCTGTTAGAGTGGACAGTGTTTGCCTGTTTCCGTGTGTCAGTGTTTCTCTCGGTGTATATGTGGGTGTGTGTGTATCTGGCTGTTGGGAGTGCAGCCCAGTCCTGGCCAGCCCCAGAGTTTCCCGTGGTCCAAGTCTTGGGGGCCGGCGACCGTCCGGGTGGTGGGAGCTGAGCGAAGAAGAGCGTAGGCGGCCGCGGAGGTGGCGGCGGTGGGGAGTGTGCGCGCCGAGCGGGAAGAGATGGATGGAGGGAGAGAACCGGTAGAGGAGACGAGAGAGTGGGGAGGAGGAGGGGCAGACGGGGGAGTGTGTGGGAGTTGGTAGCAGCATGAGGAGAATCCCAGGAAGTTGGGCTGGGCGGGGGGCTGACAGCGGTTGATTTGGGTGAGCCCCTCTGCAGTCGCCTTTCCGGAAGTTGGGGAAGATCAGAGAGCACAGAGAAACTGGGGTTCGGAGGTGTTGGACAGGCTGGGTTGGTGGGACAGGTGGGGTGGGGCAGGGGTTTGGGGGCGGGGAGAGGCTAGGCCTGGGTTTGGTGAGCTGCATCACTCCCTTGCCCTCCCCTCCCCCGCCAGGGCCCAGGATCAAACCAGCTTCCCCTGGGGAGTGAGTGTGGGTGGGTGGGGGCTCGGGTCTCGTGGTCAGCATTGGGGCTCTGGGTGAATCGTAGAACTGGGCCTCCCTCCCCCGGCCCATCCGCCAGCTCCGGGAGCATCATTGGGTCCAGACTGGGGCCAGGGGCACCCTGGGACCTGGCGAGGGCGGGAGACCCCAGGGTTGCCAGGCTGCAGGGCCAGAGGGGGATCTGAAGCTCAGGGTGGGCCAAGGCGGTGCTAAGCGGGGAAAAGTGGCGCAGGAGGAGCTCCTGGCACTCCTGGAAGGCGGCTTCAAGATCAGATCCTTCTGCGCTTCTGGGCTCTGCTGGGTCGGAAGGCAGGGAGGGGGTCCAGGGGTCAGTCCCCTCCCCTCAACATTGAAGCACGAAGAAGTGGGGAGGGGTGGAGAGCAGAAGGCGAGCCCAGGGGCCAGGCTGGGACCGAAATGCTGGTTGTCTAGCGCCCCTGAGAAAAGAAGCCCCCTGGTGCAGTGAAGCTCCCTGGACCTGCTCGGGCAGAAGGGACTGTGGGGCAGAAGGAAGTCATCATTCCACTTTGGGATTGGGGCAGGGGACACTGCCCTGCGGGGGAACTTTCTGGCTCCTGGGGACTCATGGGCTGTGCCAGGGCATGTGTGCTGCCCGAGGCCACTCTAGCTTAGCTCAGTCACTTGTGTGGGGCATGGCTGGGTCATGAGGTGGCTGGTTGTGAGACATGTGTGTGCCCTGGGTGGCAGCATGTGCTGTGTGCCTGTGTAACTCATGCCAAATGTGTGCACGTGTGCGCGGTCTGAAGGGGGCATCCTGTGCTGGTTGACTGCTGGCAGCCAGTCCAGAACTCTCAGCACCCGACCCAGACTGGAGTGGGGGAGGGGGAGAGCTCCTCTCGGGCCTGGTCTTGACCTCTGCTCTCCTCCAGGTGCCATCTTTGAGGAGAACGCGGCCAAGGACGACAGGGTGTTCCAGCTGGCCATCTCGGACCTGAGCCTCAACGATGACATCCTGCAGAGCGAGAAGATCACCTACTCCATCAAGGTCATCGAGGCCAACAACCCGTTCCAGGCCGTGCAGGAAGGTGAGTGGCCGCGGTGCCCAGGGCTGAATGGGCCGCGGCCGGCCTGTCTGTGCCGCGAGAGCCGCGGTCCCCAAGGGCTTGGCCGCGCCGAGCCTCCCGTGCGCCTGGCTCAGCTCTGCTCTGCGCGCTGGGCGGCGGGGAGCTGGCGAGCGCGGGGCTCCTTTCCCGCCGGGTGCGCCGCGCTGGCCGCGCAGGGGTGAGCGCATCTCCGGTGTGTGGTGGGCGTGTCTGCGTCCGTGCAGCTCTCCTGACCCCCGCGGGCCGTGGCTTCCCCGCTGGCGCCCGGGCCTTCGTCGGCCCCTCTCGGGAACGCATCCCGTTCGAGCCCCGCGGCCCCCGGGCCTTGGCCCTGCGTTTCGCGGCCGTGCTCCTCCGCCGGGTTTGGAGGAGCCAGTTTCCCAGCTCCGGCGACTGTCGCCGCCTGGGCCGGAGGTGGGCGCTGTTCGACCGGGAAAGGAGTGGAGATGGGCCCGGCCTGGCTGCAGGTGGATCCTGGCCTGCCCTGCGCTGGGCCGGGCCGCCGTGGGCCACGCCTCTGCCTCGAGCGGGCGTGGGGGCGGGGCCAGTGCGCCCGGAAATAGACGGGGGGAGGGGGAGGCGTTTGCTGTTGCCTCCAGTCTAGGCGCTGGCTTCTTTCTGCCACCTGGCTCTGGGCTCTGGAACCTGGGTTCCTCTCCATGGTACCCACTTCCCGGGCTGGGCCCGAGGCTCCTTCCGCCTTGCTGCCTGCTCAGCTCGGGTCCCCTGTCCTTTCCCCGCCTCCCTTCTCGTGTCCGTGGACCAGACTCTGAGGCCCGAGTGCTGAGCGTTGAGGCTCAGCTGGGGCCCAGCGCAGTGGGTCTAAGGAGGAGGTGGGTAGGTGAGGGCAGGTTCCAGCCCCCCCCCATGCCATGGGTTATAGTTCGGCTGCTGGTTTCTGGGGTACCTGCAACGACAGGGTGGCAGTGAGGTGTGGTCTGGGTCCAGAAGGTGGGAGCTCCTGCTAGGGAGAGCTTTATGCTGGGGGGGGGGGGTTGGTCATTCTGGGGTCAGCAGCGAGGGAAAGCCCAGCTCTGGGGCCTGCAGGTCCAAGTATGTCTTCAGTGGTTATGTAAGGCCAGAGTTCTGAGTGTGTGCGGGTGAGGCTGGTGTTACTTATTATGGGAACGGCCGCGTCCAGCCTTGGCAGACGTCCACAGTCAAATGTCCACGGAGGTTGGGGAGGAGGGGGGAGAATCCCTGTCCTTGGCGTCCTGTCCCACCAGCAGTCCCTGCCCCGCAGTCCCTACTCCTGGATTTCTTTTGAGAGCCTTCATGAAAGTGGGCTCCAGCCTGGGGAGGGTGTGCTTTCTTAGGGAAGGGTGGAGATCTGGGTTGTCACAGGCTTTTCCAGTTACAGGGCAGGGTTTTCAAAGAGCCCCTGCTCCCCAGATACTGCGCACACACACCTGTCTCTGTGCACCTTCATTAGGGTTGTTTTGTGCTGGAGAGCTGAGGACAGAGAGGGAGGCACATACCCCTGCACCCCGAGCTCAGGGCCGTGAGACCCCGCCTGTGTTCCATAGCTGCGGCTTGTTTGCCATTTGGGAAAAGCACCCTGCTGTTGCAGATGTGCTGAGTTTTATAAAGAGGGGTCCCACATCTGGACTTCCATAAAGTTTGATTTTTAACTGCTGTCAACTAATCAAACACTCTACCAACATTGTATAAGCCAAACAAATACCTATGGGGCACCCCGTCTTCATCCCCTGAAGCACTTGGTCCTGTAGACACAGGGCTTCCCCCACGGACTCTCCTGATGGAGACCTTGCTGTTTTGGGCCTCAGTTTCTCAACTCGTGTAACTGGAAACACATCTCGGTCTGCAAGCGTGGCCGGCTGACGTGGTCTCCTCTGGTGGGAGAGTGCGTGTGTGTGCACGCCCAGTCTCGCAGGTGGATTCCGATGGCTGACGCTGTCCGGGGAGAGGGGGACTGGCCAGGTTTGGCGGAGCGGCGGCTGCCCAGGGCGCGTGCAGGTTGAAGCTGCCGTGTGCTTTTCAACTGAGCTGTGTGGGCAGAGATGTGCCCTGTTGTCCCTCGTGGGGCTGGACGCTGATGGGGCGGCAGGAGGGGCCGCCCCTCAGCTGGGAGTAGAGAGCAGGGCTCAGAGGCTACTTTTCCGTGGCCTGGGGCTGGGCTGGGCGACTCAGCTTGCTGGTGTCTTTCCTTCTGTGCTCTGTGGGGTGCTGTCCAGCCTGTGGCCTGGACCGACTGGATGGCCATCTTATCCCTCTTTCTTGGGCCTGGATGTTCGCTGCAGCAGGACGTGGGTGGCAGACACAGTTTGGAGGGATAGGGAAGGACTTCTCGGGGTGGTGGAGGAAGAGACCAAGGGTGAAGGGGGCAAAAAGGACTGGGGTTTAGTCTCCATCATGGGCTGAAGAAGCTCCCGGGGATCCCCTGTGGACGGGGGCTGGAGCGAACCTGCCCCTGAGACCACCACACACGGATCAGAGCTTGATTGCTGGAGCCCAAGGGACACTCTCAGGTCCTGCTGGCCTCAGTGCAGTGGGACCCCGGGGAGTGCCAGCCCTGCCCGAGCTTCTGTGGCCGCGTCTGGGGAAAGGAACAGCCCTAGTCCCCGCCTCGCGGGACCCTGTGCGGGCTGAATGAGGGAGACGTGTGTTCGTGGGCTGTGGACGTCTGTGTGGTGGACGTTCGGAGAACACCAGATCCCTCTCCGGTCCTCGATCCAGCTGTGAATTCATCTCAGCTTCTCTGGAGGCTGTTGACATTTTCAGCGGCATCATTTCTTAAGCTAGAGAATATCTTGAGGGAGGACCCTCACTGACCTCTCCATCTTCAGCTCTTTCCTTAGCTTTCCCACCTCCGATGTTGAAAAAAAAAGCATCGCTACAATGAGCGTGAATTAATTTTAAAATGCAAGAAGCAAAAGGGTAGTGCCTGTGCCGTCTGTAACGTGGGTGCACTGGAAGACGTCGGGGGGCAGTTCATATTCGGGGAGATGAGATTCCCAACCTGCGGCTCACGCAGACCTTCCTCGCCCAGGTCCTGCCCGAGTCTCCGCCGGGGGCTCTGTAAGACTCGCAGTTAAAATGATGAAAACTGTAACTTCTGAAAAATGTGTTCATTTTTTTAAAAAATAATAAAATAAAGTACTTTTACATTGAAAGAAAAAGGAGAGACAGGACAGAATCATTCTGAATTCTCCCTCTGTTACTTCTTTCTCGTTTTCCTACTCTATTTAATAGATGCTGAGTTCCCCTTCTATTCAGGTCTAGATCCTGTTTTTTTCCACTTAACGTATCATCGACTTCTTCTGAAATCACTATGAAGTATTGGGAAACATTATTTTTAGTGGCTGCATATATTTTTCAATATTCAAAACAACTTGTATTTAAAAACACAGGAATCATTTATACTGACATGCTTACGTATTACTGAAGAAAATGAGAGACTTGGTCCTTTGATTTATACCTACAGCTTCGTCAGACTGATTTTTGTATAAAGTCCTTACAAACTACCTTTGAAGATAGTTGGTCAGTCTTTTTATGTTTATGTAAAAAAAAAAAAAAATGGATCACACTTAATGAAATGTGCATTTGATAAGGATTTCAAGTTAGCAAAAAACAGAAATGGTATTTAAATCTTTAAAAGGTTACATCGTAGACTTAGTTGGCGAAGTTCACATTAACAGAGTGTGAAAACTTGTCTTCCAAGTACTAGAAGAGATGCCGATTTCTTAAATAAGAAAATCTTACATTGTTTTAAAGTGCCTGTCCAGGAAAAGGTTCTGTAAATGCATAAACGTGACAAAGAGTTGCCTGAATTCCCCGCGCCCGGTATCACCTTTTACCCTGAGTGACAGACTGGAGTATGTGTTGTGCTGCGGAGACATGTCATCAGCGGAAATAGAACAATTTAGGGAAGAGGAAGAAAGAAGGAATGTACGGGAGGCAATACCCTTTAGTTCCAATAAGCGCCAGTGTGTTTTAGGAAGACAAGGTAAAAATCACCAAAGTGTGGCTCGGTGCTCGCAGAATGAAATGAAACTCGGCGAGCTTGTGGGTGGCCATCGGATGGTCTTGGTCACTTGGTGTTGGTGGCTCCCAGGTGGTCACCCTGCCCTCTCACGCCGGGCCGCCCTGTGGACGTCGGCCAGATGCTGTCTGTCCCTGAGCTTGGATGCCTCTAGCATTTTTCTCGGCTTCCCTTCAGAGGTTCCAGTGCGCCCCGTCCTCGCAGCCCCCTGCAGACCCGCCGGGCCTGGGAGCAGCTCTGCTGGGTCCCCGGGAGGTGCAGCTAGGGCTCCCGGTGGCCGCTGGTGCCGTCCGAGATGCCTGTAGGCCCCCTGCCCTCATCCCATTCCCTCGGCTGGACTACTCTTCTCTTAATGTTGAAACAAACTTTGCCACAGCATTTTTACTTGGTTAAAAACATAAATTCGCCCTGGCCAGTGTCGCTTGATTGGAGCATTGTCCCTGGAGGGCAAGGTCGTGGGTTCGATTCCCAGTCAGGGCACACACCTAGGTCGTGGTTTCGATCCCGGGTCAGGGCATGTGCGGGAGGCAACAGGTTGATGTAGCTCTCCCATCGATGTCTCTCTCTCTTTCTCTTTCCTTTGCTCCCTCTCTAAAAAATCAATTTTAAAAAGCCCATTAATTGATTAGTTTCCAGTTCTGCAAGTCAGAAGGACATGGTCTGTCTCACTGGCCTGAAGCCAAGGTGTCAGCAGTGAGGACGCCCCCTGGAGGCTGGGGGAGGGGATCCTGCCTCTTGCCGTCCAGCTCCCAGAGGCTGCCCGCCTCCCTCAGCCCCTCACTCCCTTCCCCATCTCCCAGCCAGTGCTGCTGGGTCCTTCTCATCGCCTGTCACCGTGGGTCTAGAGACCCGCATGTCCTTCTTGCTGCCGTGGGGACCGTGGCCCCTTCCTGTGCAGAGCGGCATGTGGGGGCCACTCCCTAGGTGTGACGTGGCACGCAGAGCCCCGCCTTCTGAAGGCAGACAGGCTGTCTCCACG